CCACCACCGTGAAGTGGTGGCTTTCGCCTCCTGCCGCCACCAGCCACCGTGTAGGGTAACGGTGTGCTTGTTGTGTTTGACTTGTTTGGGATGCTTGGACAGAATGGGCCTAATGAAACCCTAGTAGTCCCAATGAAACCCTAATAGGCCCAATGAAGGCCTAATTGACCTAAATGCCCAAATATATGACTAATGGGCCTAGTGAAACCCTAATGGGTCTAATGAAACCTAATGGATCTAATGACTTAACTTTTGGGCCTATTGGGTTATGATTGGATTGGAAACCCTAATTAGGGTTTAGAAAACCTAATTTTGGATATATGGGCATGTACTTATCGGGACCCACATTTGGGTCATTGGAATGGAATTGTGAATTACACCCAATCACACAATATGATTTTTCTAGTAGAGTGATGAACTTAATGGATTAAGTCCTTAATAGGTTAAGTGAGAAACACTTAACCCTAATTGTTATTTTATGTGAAGCCCTAATTTCACTTGGGCATAAATTTGGGCATTTCCATTAGGCTTTGGTAATTAGGTTATTAATGGGCCATTCAAGAGCAATCATATGGACTAAAATATGTAGATGGGCTTTAGGGTAAGGCCCACATGAGGGGTTGGGCCGAATTTAGAAAATTGGACCATAGATGGGCCATAATTAGGCCTTTATGATCATAAGATATTGAGCCATGAGAATTGTCAAATGTTTGGACTGGACTAAACGAATGGGCCTTAAGGAAAGACCATGTAGAGGTCTGGGATCAATTTGGAAAATTGGACCATATGTTGGGCTTTGGCCCATTACCTAACTGTTAGGCCTTTGGAGTGTGAGTTGGACCTTGGGCTTGGAACCCACTTATTAATTAGGTATTGTTTGATGCTGGTAGTTCGGGAATCTATCAACCAACACCTAGAGTTTCATCTGTGGGACTTCAGTAGTGCTAGGTGAGTCTCCTCACCATACCAATGGGTCGAAGGCACCAAGGCTGACCTATTTTTTATTATGTGGTACACTAGTTGATGTAGAGATATGTGGTATGCCAGTTGGTTATATGTTATATGCTATGTTATTTGTCTATATGATATTTACATGAAAGACCATGAGGGGAGCCCATGACACTTAGATATAAGACCAAGTGGGGTAGCCCATGGTTGTCCAACAGGGAAAAGACATGGGGGAGCCTATGACACTTGGATGTAAGAATATGTGGGGGAGCCCATGGTTGTCCAGTGGGGAAAAACCATGGGGGAGCCCATGACAGTTAGGTGTAAGACCATGTGGGGGAGTCCATGGCATCCTTATGCAGGGATATATGGTAGATATAGCTTTTATAGCTAATTTTATATGGTAGAGATAGCTTTTACATCTAATGTGATATGTGATATGTGGTAGAGATAGCTTTTATAGCTAATGTTATGTGGTAGAGATAACTTTTATAGCTAACATGATATGTGGTATGTGGTAGAGATAGCTTGTATAGCTAATATGATATGTGTTATGTGATAGAGATAACTTCTATAGCTAATATGATATGTGGATAGTGTGTGGGGTATGCTCTAGGGAACTCATTAAGCTCTGTGCTTATGTTTTACAGTTTTGGTTACATGTATCATCGATTTGGAAAAAGGAGGGCTTGGATTGATCGCAATGCACACACCTATGATTTCCGAAATGAATGATTTTGGGATAAACTCTGATAAATGTTTTACTTAATGATGATTTGAAATGTTCGAAACAAATGGTATCAATGTTGTAGCTATATTAAATGAATTTTTTTACCCATGATTTTTGGGTCGTTACAAATAAGAAGATTGATCGATTTTGAAACAATGAAAATGAGTATAGATTTTTTTTCTGTTATGAAGGATGAGGAAAAAGTGTGAATCGTGCTTTTGATTTCTATCGATCAGAGAAAGGGGAGTAGAAATGTTTATTCGAGTCGGATATTTAGAACTGAATAAGCTCTTATTTGGGTAACTCGAACCAAATAACCCGAGAACCGAATAAGCATAATATAGATACCTAAAACCCAAATCGAATTGCTTATTCAGGTTTAATTCGGTTTGGTTTTCGGTTCGATTCTAGTTTTTGGGTCAAATTCTCATCCTTACCATTGTTTTTAGGATTAGTAATGTTTTATGCTTAGTGCTCACATATTCTAGAGAAAATGACAAAAATAGCCATTTACACTAATGACATTACAAAAATAGCCAAAAAAAAAATCGAAATTACAAAAATAGCCAACGATTTCGCAGATGGAGATGCCCCATCTGCGAAATGACCTTCTCATCTGCGAAAGTACAAGCACCTAAAGCACAGCTGTGCTTTAGGTGCTTGTACATTCGCAAGTGGTATTTTTTTTTAATTTTTTTTGTGTATATATAGTGGTAATTTCGCAGATGGAGAAGGTCCATCTGCGATTTACTCTCACTCTATCTGCGAAATGGTGATTTTTTTTTAGTTTGACTATGAAATGAATTGGTTTGACTACGAAATCATGTTGCTATATAAAAAGTTTTGTAGAAACTAAAAAAAAAAATGATATTTTTCTACAAAACTTTTTATATAGCAACATGATTTCGTAGTCAAACCAATTCATTTCATAGTCAAACTTAAAATATATATATATATATATATATATATATATATATATATATATATATATATATACAAAAAAAATCACCATTTCGCAGATAGAGTGAGAGTAAATCGCAGATGAACCTTCTCCATCTGCGAAATTACCACTATATATACACAAAAAAAAAATTAAAAAAAAATACCACCTGCGAATGTACAAGCACCTAAAGCACAGCTGTGCTTTAGGTGCTTGTACTTTCGCAGATGAGAAGGTTATTTCGTAGATGGGGCATCTCCATCTGCGAAATCGTTGGCTATTTTTGTAATTTCGATTTTTTTTGGCTATTTTTATAATGTCATTAGTGTAAATGGCTATTTTTGTCATTTTCTCCATATTGTATATTTACTTACCTAATATAAATTAAAATTAACATAGATTGTTTTGTAAAAGAGATGGAGTGATTATTGTATTTTACGTTCTATATTTTAACGACATATGTAGAAAGATTATTAACAATATATTTAGATTTTCCTAATCATATAAAGTTATTTTTGTTTAATTTTGATCAAACCAAGCGACTTGACGATTATGACTTACATGTGTGTTTACTATTTTTTATTGGAATACATAACTGACCATCTATAATATTACCATAATATTTTTGTTTGTTTTATCTATAACTTTTCATGAGAATAATCGGAGTGACGACGTTCATAGATCCGGGTTCTTTTTTTTTTTTTTTTAAGGGAAAATGAGTTGTAAGGGTAATGATGTTTTATCCGTGTTCACATTATACCATTAACGTTTTTTTTTTTTTTTTTTTTTTTAACAAAAAATACCATTAAAATGTGTTTTCTGTACATAGTTTACCATTGGTAACCGGATACAATAGGTATCCCGATATTTTATTTATTTAAAAAAAAAATTATGTGGAAAATACGTGGTTCACCCCTCTCCATTAAACACCCTCACCCTCAATTAAACACTCTCAAAGCACGATTTCTTCTTCACTCTTCAAGACTGTAGCAGCTTTCTCAAATCCATGGCTTCCTCCTCTACATACACCTCCAACACCAGATCGAAGAAAATCAAGTCAAAATCGAAACTTGATTTTGCAAATCCCTGTGATTATGGCTACCCTTCTCGTATCTGGACTTCAACGACCAAAGATAATCCTGGAAAAGAGTTTAGGGTTTGCCCTAATTCAACGGTATGTCGGGTTTAATCTATATGTAGTAAGGTCTTTTCAATAATTTTCGTATATTTGTTTTAGGATAACCCAGAAATTAAATGCAAATTCTGGGAATGGGTTAATGAAGAAGATACAGTCAACAAGAAGAAAAGAGATGAAGTAGGAGCACAATCCTGTGAAGTAAGGGCACAATCTTGTGAAGTGAGGATTGCAATTATGGACCATGATTTCAATATTTACAAAAAGAAGACAGATGAAGAATTTGATAAGATAATTAGAAAAATTAGCAGTCTCAAAACATATGTAATTGTGTTGTTTATGTTGTTTGTAGTATCACTCTTAAGGGCATAAATGTCAAATTGTAATCGGATATTATGGTTGTTTTGCTGAATATGATTGAATGAACATGTTTTGCTGAATATGATTGAATGGACATGTTTTGCTTAAGTTTGAATATGATTTAATCTTAAGTACAAACAACATTGAATGAGCATTCATGCATTGTCTTATTAGGGTAATAATGTGCAAAATGTTACCCCTGTACAAACAACTTTGCAGAATTTTACCTCTTAATGTGCAGAAGGGCATAATGGTCAAAATGAAGGAATCCTAAGAGCATAATGGTCAAAAAGAATCTTATGTAAAAGCAACTTTGCAAACAACTTTGCAGAATCTTGTGTTTGAATATGATTTAATGTGAATAATGGTAAAAATAATATGGACATGTTTGGCTTAAGTTTGAATATGATTTAATCTTAAGTACAAACAACATTGAATGAGCATTCATGCATTGTCTTATTAGGGTAATAATGTGCAGAATGTTACCCTTGTACAAACAACTTTGCAGAATTTTACCTCTTAATGTGCAGAAGGGCATAATGGTCAAAATGAAGGAATCCTAAGAGCATAATGGTCAAAAAGAATCTTATGTAAAAGCAACTTTGCAAAAAACTTTGCAGAATCTTGTGTTTGAATATGATCTAATGTGAATAATGGTAAAAAATAATATGAAGGGCATAATGGTCAAAAACAAGGAATCATATGTAAAAGCAACATTGAACGATGTAGATTATATTTAAAGGGTAATAACAAACAAAAGCACAGTTTTTAATGTGTATATTTACATCAAAAGACAAGCATGGTTTTAGCAAAAGACAAGCATAGTAATTTCTGCCTTAAACAAACAAAAGCACAGTTTTTAATATGCAGATTTACATCAAAGGGAATCATTCCAGTGTAACAGGTTTATTCACACTTAAACCACATCCATCCTTGGTGATGACCACCCTCCTTAATGCCACTTCAGTGATCCTCTCTGAGTATTTCCTTTTCCTCTTCAATGGTTGTGCTCTTTGTTCAACTTCAACAACGGGTTGTGCAGCAGGTTCCTCAACAACAGGTCCATGAACTTGTTCCTGATCAGGTTCATGAACTTGTTCCTGATCAGGTTCAACAGCAGCTTCAACAACTTGTTCATCAACTTGTCCCTGATCAGGTTCATCACCATCTTCAGCCAGCTCTTCAATCTCAGATTCAGACTCAGATTCATACTCATTTTCAACTTCATCCATCTCTTCAATCTTAAATTCAGACTCATCCTCAACATCAGGAACATGTTTACCCTTCTTCTTTTTGGCTTTAGTACTTGGTCCTACATTAAAATTTATAATGCATTAATAGATAATACTTATATTTTTTTTTGTAAATGAATGATACTTGATATGAAAAAAAAACCTTCTTTGGACAGTGGACATGTTATTTTGTTGTGTCCTGGTTCTCTACAGATGCTGCATTTTGTAATAGCCCCTTTCTTGCTAATAGTATGACGACATTCTTTTTCTGAAGCAACCTTCTTCCTGTTGACTTTAGGTCTGCCAGGTAATCTTTTACGTTTCAGGGGCAACATAGGTTGACCTTCCCAAGATGGTCATATTTCACTTCCATTTAAAGGATTAATTGTATACTTATAGCAATTTCCAAACATTTCTGTTGTGAACCAAGTTGCCACATAGTCTTCCACATTCTCATTTAGATAACTAATAGCAGCCATGGCATGTATACATGGTATACCGCTTAGTTGCCATCCTCTACATGCACATGTTCTTTGGTTCAAGTACACAGCATAAACCTCATGTACTGACCTCACCTCAAATTGTTGCACTCCACTGGGAATTACATACCAATACCTTTAAAATAAAGGAATATAGTATAAAATTAGTACTTGGGAATTACATGCCAATACCTATAAAATAAAGTATATATACCTTAGATGTTTCCTCTTGTCCACTATTTTCTTTCTAATAGATGGACATATGGCTAGATTCCATTTCTGCCCCTTCAATCTTTTACAATACATCCTATCCATCACAAACCTCCTAATTTCCTCTAACATTGTTATAATCGGCTTTTTCCTAGCATGCACAATTGCAGCATTAAAAGATTCACAAATACCATTCTCAATGGCATCACAAGACCTGTCCAATACAAAAAAAGCCCTAGACCAGGATTTTGGATCTCTTTCCATCAAGTGATCATATGCTTGTATATCAATCACCCTAATCTCTTTCATTATACCTTCAAACCTCTGCACAGTTGTGGCCTTTGCAGCCCTCCAAAAAAGCTTCCTATATGCAACACCCTTAAATTTTTTCTTGAAATTAGCATAGACGTGCCTAGTACATTGCCTATGCTCAGCATCTGGTACTCTTTCTTTAACAGCCTCAATAAGACCCTAAACATGCAAGATAAACATAACATTAAGATAAACATAACATTAAGATAAATAAAACGGTAACCAATTAAAAAACAGTTAGGATAAATACCTTGTGTTGGTCAGAAAGTAAGGTTAATCCTGCCCCATTTCCCATGTTAATGTCCTTAAGTAGTAAGTTTAGAAACCACTTCCAAGTTTCTTTGTTCTCAACTGCAACTACTGCCCAAGCAATGGGGTAAATATGGTTGTTAGCGTCTCTACCTACAGCTGAAAGAAGCTCACCTCTGCAAATACCTTTTAAAAAGCAACCATCTACACCTATAACCCTCCTGCATCCTTCAATCCAACCATCCTTTACACCTTTGATACAAACATACATCCTAGAAAAATAAATTGTGGAATCAGGCATTGTATCCGTCCCAATTTTCACTGTTGACCCTGGATTAGCTCTTAATATCTCAGCTCCATAACTCCATAATTTTTCATAATGTGTGTTCAAACTGCCTTCGATCTCATTAAGTGCAAACTTCTTTGCATTCCTGCATTGTCCAACACTAACCTTCACATTGAAAATTTCCCCAACTTTATCCCTCATTTCCCTGCAACTCATTTTGGGATTTTCTAAAATATCATTAACAAAATGTTTCCCTATCCATGAGTAAGTAACAACTGACCCAAACTTGAAGGTTCTAGCACAGTTATGCTCATTACGTAAGGACTTAATTTGGAATGACTTTTCACTGCTCATCCAAGTAGCCCATAGTCTAAAAGGACATGCTGCCTTTCCTTCACTAGTTTTACAACACCTGACTAGCAACCTAGTTTTATCATTTTTTTCATACCAAAGGTTAAAACCGTTTGCTACTGCATAGTTTGAGACAAGCTGTTTAAGTTCTTGAGGGTTACAAAACCTCATACCAAGGATGGGTTGCATTGTATCCCATTTTTGAGTTGAGTCATGAAAAGGGTAAATTGGGGCTTCTTTGGTTCCATTATCTGAATCATCATCCTCATCAACAAAATCATCTCTAGGGACAACACTAATATAGTTAAGAAAGGGATCATCAGATTTAGTCAATGGTATTACCTCTTCATCGGGTTCATGATCAACAGATAGAGCATCAGACATGACCGAGTCTTTATCTTCATCAGAGCTTTCACTATCAACACTTTTTTCTTCCTTTTCTTCCTCTATCCAGTCAAGCACCGAATCGTTGTAGTGATCAATATATACATTAATCTTTCCCTCGTTACCATGTGCAGCATCAAGAAACCTCCTGTAGTCATCATCGTTTTTCAGTGGTGTCAACCCATCACGCATTGACTTATGCCCAAGACAGTAGTAGACAACAGGACACTTCCCCTTTGTGACATCCTCAAGAACATGAATGAACTCCTTGAAATTTAATCCACCAAAATCGACATCTGTAACTGACATTTTTTGATTCAGGTAGTATATAAGATGAGGAATGAGGGAAAACATTCCATCGTAATGAACATCTACTTGAATGTAAGTTGATCCTTTTGCATTAGATGGACCAGCCATGATCGATCTCAAACAAAACTTCGACTGAGAAAACCCTACACAACGATCTTGGTATGGGGGTGTTTAATCGTGCTTTGAGAGTGTTTAATTGAGGGTGAGGGTGTTTAATGGAGAGGGGTGAGCCACGTATTTTCCACATAATTTTTTTTAAATAAATAAATTACCGGGATACCTATTGTATCCGGTTACCAATGGTAAACTATGTACAGAAAACACATTTTAATGGTATTTTTTGTTAAAAAAAACGTTAATGGTATAATGTGAACACGGGTAAAACATCATTACCCTTACAAGTCATTTTCCCTTTTTTAACTAAAAAGACTTGTCATGACGTTGATATCTTTAAAAAAGAGGCCTCTCTATCAAATACATAGAAAACTAGTTGGTACAGGATAATATATTTTTTAATATCCCATCCATAATCAAAAGAATGAAAAGGTTTAATTTTTTTCATTATATAATTCTATTTGAAAATAAAAAAACATTATAATAAGAACCATTTTTTTTTCTTTTTGGCACCTTGCTTCCATTCCTACAAATATGCAAGCTTCACCGACAAAAGTAAACTTCACATAACTTAACAAAACAACACATTGGAAACTTACGATTAGTTTACTTACATTCTTCCACTACGATAAAGGTTTTGGAACATATACCTATCCTTTAGAAGCAGGTTGTGGCAGATTACGGCTCCATTCCTTTTAACTTGTATAATGCTTGAACGGAATGAGATGATTTTGGCGAAGTGGTTATTAACGTGTGGAATCAGCCGTGCATTCGGTTCATTCCAATAAAAGAGAGTGCTAAAAGACTAAAGAACATGATTAAAGAGTAGCAAAATAAGAAGCTAGAAAAGGAAGGCGTTAAAAAGGAATTATAGGGAAGGCTTAGAGATATTGATAGAGTGATAGATGGTGGAAGTGGTGGACCTTAGTGGATTGACATATCCTTGATGGCCCTCTTATGGCCAGTGTGGTGAGTTGGCCCTTGTGAGAGATAGACATATCTTGATAGCCCTCTTATTAGGTGCACCGGTTTAAAATACGAGCAAGAGGTTCAGGATCTAGACCAGGATCAGGATCAGGCTCGCGTGCAGGGTCTAAGCAGGTCGATGACGGGCTACGCGAGTTCATCGCATCTAAGATCACGAGAGGTATCCTCGAGGCGACCCCGGTTTTTTTCTGGGTCGATCAAGGAAGGGATTGTTGAGCTGATGGAGGATCGCCTCCGAGCATTCAGGAGTGACGTGTCGTCCAGCCAGTCAGGTACGCGCATACTATGCTTCAAGGACATCAGGGGGAGTGGTGCGCCAGACTTTCACGGGGCGAAGGACCCTATTGTTTCCAGGAGATGGATTACTGACATTGAGTCTTCGCAGTTGATGAGCTTCTGTAACACCGTAAATTTCAAAACAAAATTTTCAAATTTTTATAAAACATAATTCATTTAATATTCAGAAAACAACCATTTTCAATCGTTCAATCCAAGTAATACAAAATCCCAAGATCTCAAAATCATAAATCCCGTGCGTGTGTACTGATCAAGCCGGCGCCTTCCCGCGGTCGTCACTAGTACCTGAAACAATTAACATCAAACACTGTAAGCACAAAGCTTAGTGAGTTCCCTAAAATACCACATATAACACATATTAGCCACTCGAGGCTATAACTCTATGGGTCCGTGCACCCAACTCTGTGAACCCTCAGGTTCTAACTCTGTGAACCTTACGGTTCTAACTCTGTAAACATGCACAACATAAATCACATAGAAATAATGCAGTACAACACATAACATACATAGCATACAAATACTCTGTCACATAACTCTGGTTACCTACTCAAGGTAAAGTATAGTGAGAAGACTCACCTCGCGTATCTCGGAATCACTAGCGCTCGATCTCCCGAGCTATCGTCCTCCTACAACACAAGCATATCTCTACTTAATACCACCTTGATCCTGGCTGACTAACACTACAAAGTCAAACTAGTCAATCTGGACAACGGTCAAAGTCAACCCCTGACTGACTATACTCGCCGAGTCAACCGATGACTCGCCGAGTCCCCAAGCTCAGAACTTCCCTCAATCCGCGACCTGACTCGCCGAGTCACCCCGAGACTCGCCGAGTCCAACAACTCTGAGTCCACTCGCACCCAACTCACCGAGTCATCCCTTGACTCACCGATTCTCGACTCAACCAGAAAATATTGGGATTCTTCGACAAGACTCGCCGAGTCCAAGAACAGACTCGCCGAGTCTAAGGCTATCTTCAACCTACTCGCCGAGTTGTTCATCCAACTCGTCGAGTTCCAGCTCATCTTCAAGCAACTCGTCGAGTCCACCCTTGTGACTCGCCGAGTACCACCGGTCTGAATCCATACAGAAGCGTTCCAGCCATGCAATTGATCCAAAACATAGATCTAGCCTCCTACAACCCATCCATCACGTAAAGTGGCAAACTTTACGTGAATCCAAAGAGATCTAGGCCTTATACACTTTAGAGCTAGGGTTTGGGACATGATGGCTTCACTAAGCACTCAAACACAGGGACTTTAATGCACTCTAGACCTTCCCCATTCCAGATCTGAGGTAGCAACCTCAGATCTAACCTCCAAACTCCAAAACATACCAAGATAAGCTCCCATAAACCCCAAAATGATGAATCCATATGAGTAACAGCCCAAGAACAAGATATTACCTCAAAAGAACGCCCCAACTGCAATGAAACTCGAATCCAAGCAAAGCCCCTTGCTCCAAGCCTCCAAACTCCCAAGATTTCTTCAACAAATACCCTTCAAGCTCCCAAATGCACTTTGATCCACACACACACAAATGCTAAGGGTTTCTGGACTTGAGGATGAGTAAAGAGGCTAGGGGAATGGATGTTAAGTTCTTTATATAGGGCTCAACCCCGAGAATTAGGGTTTTCTCCACTCAGCACCTACTCGCCGAGTCCATCTTTGGACTCGCCGAGTAGGCCAATTGACACGCGACCAAAGTCGCGACCCTACTCGCCGAGTTGCCCTTCAAGATTTACACTTTTAGCCCTTTAACTCTACTCTTGATATTTCAGGGTGTTACAATTCTCCCCCACTTAATTTAGGCTTCGTCCTCGAAGCCTACGACAACTCATCTCCAAAAATACTCCCACAACACGCCACCTGGACTTAACCGGACTAGGCCCCTCAAGGCATACCCATCGAAACTCGAACTCACTTTCTCTTTCCTTGCGGTGTCCTGACCATCGTCTCAAGCTGGGCACCAGCTTTACCCTCTGATATCCACACACAACAACTGAGTACTTCCAATGATGCATCACTGCTCCAAATCTCAACCATCACTCGACCCATAAGGGCTAGAAAACCATGAACCACTGGATCCCTGATCCGAAACCCACTCTATCCATTCCATGCTGACCGAAAGACCCATTCTTCAATCTCAGAGTAACTCCCACGAGTCCTCTTCTTGCAATCACACGCACGTGCTGCACCAGTCCTCGCACTCTCAAGTTAGGAAAACCCGTCACACTGACGACATCTCCAACATCCCCAGGGGGAACCACCACTACACACACGACTCCCTGATCAGAATCAAGCTGGGAGTCCCAGACTCCATCCCTGCATCTATCCTGGGACTCTTGGCTCTACACCCGCGGAATCCCTTCAGCGTCCTCCGCAGTCACCCCAACATGATGTCATTCCATACCACCACCGTAATCACGCTGCTCAATGATTACTGATCTAACGACACCTCCTCCCATACAACAACTCAAAGGGTGGCACACTGGTGCTCAACTGATGGCTGTTGTTGCAGGAAAGCTCTGCCAAGGGCAAAAACGTATCACAACTCTCTCCGAAATCTATTATATATATGCCCGAAGTATGTCCTCGAGCGTCTGAATCGTTCGCTTGCTCTGTAGGGTCCTCAGACATCACCAAGGTAAACTCTACCTCATTTCTCATATCCCTCTTCGATACTGAACACCAGATCAGCTTTTGGCCCCACAGCTGAACCTCCAAAGGTCACACATATCATGACCCAAGATATCACACCAACTTCCTCCATTTGACAAATATTTCGGCCTAGTGACTCGTAAGTCACTAAATTCTCTTCTCCTCATACGAAAAATACAATCCGATCGAAGATCGAATCAACTCTGACCTCTGGAGTCTGCTGCGCATATCTCCTGCGCACCTTGTTGAATCTCTCGACAGAGGCGGAGGCCCCAGCCTCGCCCCAGTTTAAACACTAGGCTCCAAAACTCAATATTAGGGCTACTCAAGCCTAAAACTCCTCTGCATCGTACACTGATCAGAGAACACTCCATCATCACACTCTCTTGCTGTCTAGCGAGTTTTATGGCTTCTTGCAATATCACGACAGACTCTGACTAGTGAGTACTACGATTCCTCGTAGCACCACAACGCCAACCGACTAGTGAGTACTACGGCTCCCCGCAGTACCACGACTCCCACTCTCAGACTTGTGAGTACTACAGCTCCCTGTAGCATCACAACACCCTCTGACTGGCGAATACTACGGCTCCCCGTAGTATCACGACTCTCTCTCTCTCTCTGGCTTGCGAGTACTACGGCTCCCCGTAGCATCACAACACCCTCGAACTGGCGAATACTATGGCCCCCCGTAGTATCACCTTATACCCTCATTCTCATTACAACGCCACACTATGTTCACTAACTCATGCACCGAAGACTATCATAGGTAGTTACACACTTGCCCCAATATGCATTACAGACTCTAGCGGCAACCGCTATACGCAGAACCCATCTCTTCGGAGATCCACTTCCTTAAATAATTCCCTCTTGATGACAATACGCGAAGGGCTCCCACTGGAACCCTAGATACATGATGCATCACTAGCCGCTTCAAACTCAAGACTCTAAATAACTCCGAAATCAAGACGCTATACGCAGAAACCACGGAATACCATCACCGAACATCATAATGTCCTGCCTCTACCACTGATTCTCCTACTCCTAGCACCATACATATACAACAATACATTCCTCTGAGCCTCAT